AAGGTTAACAACACCACAGGTACTGTACCTCAACCACCATGTATGCAAGCCCGCGATGGTAATTACCGTAAGTGTACTAAACAGTATCTAGTTACTATGCGCAGCCACCTACAGACAAGAGACGCAAAAGCTGCTCCGTGCTGCGAGCTGCATGTGCGGCGGCAATGGCTTGCTCGATACTGTACCGAACTAACCTGGTCCTCCGGCTCCCGGGTCGGCTGCACTGAAGATCACCTGGAAGAGACATGGGGGCCAGCGTTCATTTTTTGATTTTCTCGCTCACCAGAAGTTTGGACATAGAAGGAATGGATCAGCAACATAAACCCAGACTGCCCACAGCGCCGTCAAGTCCTGTGCACTCTTTTCTCCAAGTCAGCCGCACACCATCTCACATGGACATGAGACATGCATAATGACAGAGCCGGTTGCTGCTGCTGCTAGGCGCCTCTGGCCTCTGGTAGTAATTACGGAGTGCGCCATACTCAGTATGTCTGCAGGGCAGTCGGCACCCCGCCCTTGTGGAAACAGACGGAGACGGAGGGCGGCATACACGTACTCGGTGCCAGTATCGACTATCAAGTATCAAGAAGCAGAACACTGCACCATCGATCGATAGCGTGTCACTTCGTCCGCCGGCTAGGTGCTCACTTCAGGGGCCCGATGTGTCAACAACACGTTCTCTTGTTCGAGCCACTCTCGGTCGTTCTCCTTGTGCACCCGACAACCACTTTCGGGCCGGTCACACATGACCTCGTTCCCCTCCCTCTAAGGGGTAAGGACTGACGAGAGCGCGGCCGGCCGTCAGGACAGCGGCCTGGTTGTGTTCGCCCTTCCAGCGCATCTCGTGGCACACGGCAGGCACCAACGTCCACACCCGCCCCAGCGCCAGATGCGTGATCTGTCGATATCCCGTCATCGAGTTAGGTGACGCGGGCGGCTGCCTGCAGCTTGTCCTCTCGAGCCCACGTTTTGGCCCTGTCGCCAGTACCTATAGCGCCATCTGTGGCGTCCCGAGACTTTGCACGGCTTTTTCTAAGACCTGTCTGTCTCGGACCTTGGGGGCACCAAAGTGACCAGTCGTGCCGTTTGTGTCATCGTAAGCCACTGCTGGGCCCCGTCGGCATGCCACTTGATTGCTGGATCTGAATCTTCAACAGGCAAATGGTAGCGATCGAACGTAACATCTGCGGGTGCCTGCTGCCTGCTGGGCCACCAGGACTGGCCTCGAACGAAAAGAAACCCAATTAGGTGAGAGTTCTGTGAATTCTGTGTAAGAGTCCAACCCCAGGATGTCGTACATTGGAAGGATCTTCGGCGGTACCAAGGTAGTGCTACGCCAAGACGAACCCGTCCATAATTTCGGGCTTCAGGGTCTAATTACCGGCGGGAAGATCATTTGAGTCCTGGCACTGCGGAAACGCATTACCTCTCGCCTATCCAGGTCGTACAATGACATGTACAACATCCCAATACAGCGCCAAGCCCTGCGCGAATGCCTTTTTTTCTTATTGGCCTGGAGCTCGCCATAAAGCTGAGCGGGAATGAAGGCAAGTGACATATCAGAAACCCAAGTCTCGGGTACCTCGATTGACGAGACTACCGTATCTACATAATCATACTATTCATGTGTGGAGTCCGAGCTGAGTACCTACCTACAAGACTAAATCGTCAGCTCAGAAGCCTCTATAGGCAAGCCGTATGAGGGCAGAGCTGGGATAAGGGCTATGAGAGGGGCCGAGACCATATGGACTTACTAGATCATGAGTCGCCCTGGGACCATGAATCTTGAAAAGATAGAAATGCGCTGACAGATTCGTGAGACAGCAATATAAGTGCATACTAAGATGCTTATTAACCAATTTCTACCCTCGTTCGATATCTCCAAGGTAACACTGCCATTACCGTTTCATAGAGTCATGAATCTGGCTAAAGTGGTTGATCCAAGTATTCCATTGCGGTTGTGTCACTGCTTATAAGATATTTACTGGACAGTTGAGTATAGTGACGGCATCTATAATGATAGCAAGTTAGAGTTAACGAGACAAACTTGAGAAAGTTACGAAAACTAGAGTACGGACTAAATCGTATTGGCGTTGTGCGGTCTTTGCGGACATTAGTAAGCAGAGTGCGGACTTGCGGCGCAAACCAACATGCAGCGCGTCAACTACCAACGGTCTTGTATTGCTGATCAGCCTGATCTAAGCGCGACTCAATATCGATCTATCTACAAGGGCCAAAACGTACCACCTCAATAGTTGTATTTCATTCATCATGGAGTTGTCGCAGTCTTCATCTCATCAAAGACAAATAATGGATCCAATATCATTAAGCGGAGGGAGCTCGCGACAGAGGAATTGCAACGGCTGCGTGAAGCGTAAGCGGCGTTGTGACAGGCGCAAACCGGCATGTGGTAGATGCGTTAAGCAAAGATACCCATGCACATATGGCGGACAAGGCCATGCGGAGATGGCGCTGGAGGAGTTAGACAACACCCCTTTCGGCTTGGGCTATCTAGCGGACTCATGTCCCGGCTCCAACAACTTCATATCCGCTCTTAATACGGTCCCAACGGGAGGAGCCGACATGAGCTTGCCCGCAGATCTGACATTTCAGCTGGACAATGACTTCAGTGGTCTGCTGGGCGCCATGCCCGAACGTAGTGGCCCCCTTGCCAGCCTATGGCCGACGCAATTTGCGGATATAGCGAGCGCCCCGGCGGACAAGACCCTAGTTCGAAGAGATTATTCGAAGATCATGTCCCCTATATGCGTATGTATGTGATCCTCCCGTGTGGTTTTTAATCTCTAAGTCTGTCGGATGTAGGAAGACTATGCGCCCTGGCAACTCGCGGATCCATCGACCAAAGCATCCGTCTCATTGGGCATGTTTAAGAAGTTCCACGTAACCTTCGCCCAATCCAACAGTACACCTTACATCCATAGGTACCTGTACAAGGACAATATGCCCTGCTGGATGCTCCAAGCCTTCAGCATGTGCTTATTATATACGAACCAGACAACAGCAAATCGGGCTGTAGTCCTCAGGGCTCTACATGAGAACGTAATAGAACTAAAAGAAACAGCCAGCCAGGGGGCACTTATTCCTCAAGAGAAGCTTGCCCGGGTGCATGCGCTGATGTTCTACCAGACAATCCGCATGTGGGATGGCGACATCACTCTCGGGCAACAGGCCGACGATGATATGGCGCTGCTCGAGTCATGGACTAATGATCTCTGTAAGGTCAGAGACAACCTCGACGACCTTTCCGATGAGCGGATCGTCGCCAGGGAACATCCGCCGGAATCTTGGGAGGTGTGTTCGTAGCTCATACCGAGTTTTGCGTGCTTGCTGACTCCTGCCAACAGAGATGGATCTTCGCAGAGAGTCTCAGAAGAACATGCATAATGAGTCTGTGCGTCCAGAAATTCTGGAAGCTGTTGAAATCACGGATCAAAGCAGGTACTTGAGGTCATCGTTCTGTGCTCTTCAGCTTTCATGAGCTAAACCCGAGGATATAGATGAGATGGGCAGTTACATTCTTGCTCGTTGGATGCTCTCCAGGGTATGTAGCGGCAGTATCCCTCTGTTTAGCCCACAGTATATTCTCTTCGGTCCTTTATGAACCGCGCAGCTGACTACTCACTAGTATGTCAAGGATTGCTCCTGTGTTCCGATACACTGCGGCCACCGTTCACGTAGCATCTTTATTAACATACACCAGCCATCTTTGGGATGCTCAAAACTCATTCGATTTTCTGCGCGCATGGAAAGAGAAGCCGTTCTGGGTCATTACCATGTTCGAGTTCAAGGAGTTCCTCCGATCAGGGACAGGAGACGATCTCGACGATTTTTCATATTATTTTCTCGCACTGTTAGTCCTCCTTACTCCTCACCGGTGGCTACGTCTCACATAGGCTGGCAGCTACTTCGGCATCGATGAGATAAAGACGTTCTGCTATGAGACTAGCGGTCGTCTCGTGGGACTCGCATGAATTATAGGCAGGAGCGGAAAGCAGAAAGGCAGCCGTTCTGAGCGCTTCTAGTTATACCGACTTTCCGTTGATGTTAAACTAAGGTGAGTGAGTATACAAGCCTAACGTGGGCATAGCGAAGGACTAACATACACAGAAACGGAAAATTATATCAAATCCGCAGAAAACTTACGTGAAATATTCTCTATGGACGCCATACCTAGCTCTTTTGATTCACGCTTGGAATTCTAGCAGCCATATCGAGATCCTGAACGCTACCAAGCGGGGGAGGGGTAGAGGGGGACATTGGGCACGAATGTACGTCTGCTTGTCACATGATGCCTGTTCATGCGCCGGGTCGTAAATACTGGACGAAGAAGAACCCTTGGCTAGCAAGAGCCACCTAATCATTCACTGCAGCAAGCGATGAGATAGATCGCAACAAATACAGGTCTATGTTAGCAACTCTTGACTGGTATGGGAATCTGCCAAAGTCTCTTCCGTCACGGGGGGGAGGTGGCCTATAAATGATAGGGACATGACCTAGAATCTAAAATATTAGGTTCCGCTGCTATATCCTAGAGGAAAGAGACCAGAGTCATCAATATGAAAATCATGTATAGTCTTTGTGTCTCTGAGGCGCTCTCATTACTCGTTGCTTCCTTCATGACAATGTGGCGTTTACTTATGACCGTCTGCATATGCCACCAGATGGGCTGCAAGCCGTTCAATATATCAAACACAGCAACGCTACTATACGCAGCACGCAGAATATCTGGGCGCGTTCATAAATTCTCAATGACGATTAAAGCACCTTCTTAGCGAGTACTTTTGTACACCAGATTATATCAAAAGTTCAGTTTAAGATCGCAACTACACCCGCCACAACCACACCCGCTCAAGTACACAATTCCAAAGAGAATCAGCCCGTAGGCCTTGCATATATAACGAAGAGTACCTACCATATACAAGATCTCTGATTGAAAAAGAACCTTGTTGCGAAGATCGTTAGAAGGAGGTGCAAAAAATTGCCTCCACGCGGAGTCGAACCGCGGATCTTGCCATATCATCGCATATTCAGCATACGAGTGGCACGCACTAACCACTATGCCATGGGGGCGCTGCCTTTCAAGCACTGTTTAACGGATGTGAGGGTTATGCTGTAATGGAAACTAAATTAAACGATAGGTAGGTAAGTGTGCTAGAATTAGGGCTGTATTGTGTAGTGTAGAATATAGGGGTACATAGGATAGGGGCTAACACTGTGATGACTGGGTACTCATAATACACTAGGAGAAGCATGTAGTATTGCAAACTTTAGTACGAGAAAGTGCTCTCCCATCAATTCTGACGATGCTAATATATTGTATCTACGAAGTAGTGGTCGCACTGATATTACTTAGAGGCTCTTCTGAACGAAGACCAACCCGCGTTAGGTTAGTGACATGGGTCCTTCCGCGTTGGCGGAATATGACTTGCAGACACTTGCTGGCACTAGCATCGTAGCCTTTGCTTATTAAGGTTAGATAGCTTTTATAGCCTACGATGGACTACAGTAGGGTCAAGGTCATCACGTAGTTATCTCTTCTGTGTTAGGTTGTGTGGTTGATTGTACTTTGCAGAAAGACAAACCTCCGTTCACACTGTGGACAGTGCTATCTGTTAGAGTGATTGACCTCGGTACGAGTTCCACGAGAGAAAGATTGGGTTGCGGTATTACGGACGCTTGCACCGAAATGCCTTCATTAGTGCTCAGTGTTTGACACTGTCCAGGCAAGCATTTCGACTTAGTCCGATTGGTACAATTTTCAGCAATGCTATTGTATGGGGAACCCGTCACTAAAAGTCTCAAGTGCGAATAATCATTTCTCTCTTTATGCTATTGTCTCATTAATTTCGGGCCTTGTTCTTGTTGCTTTGGGACCAGCTACAAAGGTCAAAGAACACCTCTGTATTTGTTGATTGTAATTGTAGGGTATTGAATCAGTCCACCCACCGAAAGCGCCCTGAGTTAGTGAGGCCAGCAACAACCATACTGGCTTTCTTCTGGTACAGGGCTTGAGGGTGTCAATTAGAAGTGTTATGTCAAGCTGGCTGAACAGAGGAAAAAATAATCTACGACAGCTACTAATTAGTGATGACTGTGAAGATAGAGGTCTACCCGCACTGTAGGTATTAAGTATCCTAGCCTCTCTTCCTTCTGAACACAAATTTAACATTACTAGATCGTTATTTTTACGTACTCTCATTCACAGTCATATTGAGGTTTACTCATTTGGAACAACTACCATGCCTATATTACCGGTGACACTGGAATAAATTATCAGATCATTTCCATGATCGCAGTCTATCGTATCTCTTAAGTCACAAGCTCCTACAAGGCAAATCACGATCATCTCAAACAGAGAGTTCTTTTGATCAAGAATTAAGTATATCATTATATATTCGAAGTCAACTTTTTATGTCATAAATCATATCTTATTTCCCCTAGTCTATATGCCGAGAACCTGAGAATGAAGTTTAGTAGAAAGAACTCGTTATTGAGTCAGGAACCTGTGTGCCTCAACCCACCATCTTCTCGTGACTGGCCAGGTCCGTAGAGAAGTGTAGCGGAGCCGGGCGATGATTCCTTAATAATACTGTCTGAGACAGCTATAGTGCTGCGGCTGAAAGGGCCAGGTTCGCGATTCCTGGCCCGATTCAGCATGAGCAAGTATGTTCAAGCTTCTCAGTGACCTAGTACACCTAATAATTACAATCTCTTTTGTGCAAAGGTTCGTATACTGATGTGCTCTGGAAGGTGATTGCTGGCGAAACTGTGCGAATTGTGCACGAAGTTTTGCTCATGATAATCTCTCCCGTCTTAGTAGTTGATACTAGCGGAGATTAGTTTTCGTGTCGTGTCGTGTGATAGTTTGGGGTAGGATGTGTCTACGAGTCTTTAAAGGAACTTCAATACTCGAAGGTACTCAGCTGGTTTAAGAACCGCTTGTTAGTCAGGGTTGAGCTTTACGCCCTCTCCCTTGTATAAATATACTCTTCGTCTGAGTCTGTACTGAACTGCCAATTTGTAAGCTCATGCTCAAGCTGAAGTCGCTGGCGCTCCATGCTTTTTCTGGCGCTCTCGGCTGCAAACTTAGCGGCGTCCCTATCCTCGAAAACCTTGGCGAGGATTTGCGGTAGCTCTCCCAGTTTAACGGAATTAAATTCAATGCCTTGGTCTTCACACAATGTCTCTGCCAATGGTATGAGAGAAGACAGTCTTCGGCGGTCAGTAATCATTTTCTCGAGCGCTTCGACAACTTCTGGGGTCTTGTTGACATCAACGCCTTCAGATTCAGCGACCAGATAAGCAAGCTGGCGAAGAGGCCGCAGGTGAGAGATTTTCATCGACGATCTTACAAGCAATTGTTCGTAAGCGCTGTTTACTGTTAGCAGATTACGCTGTTGAACGTCTCCTTCTAGTGGTGGAATTACTTGTATGCTCGGAGTTCTACCTCCTTCTGCTATTGGTACTGGTGCGGAACTCGAAGAGAATCTTGGGAACTCGTGAAATTCGACTTGATCATCCGTGCGCACTGGTCGTCTTTCGCCGTCTCTTCTTTTAGAGGCGCGATCGGTGCTAGCTTCTGCGCGGCGATTTCGTCTTTCATCGTTGCTGCGTCTATGATGCTCTTCTTCGGATCTCCGGTTATGCCGATCACTCCGATCATTATGATTATGGTGATCTCGGTGATCTCGATGATCTCGGTGTTCGCGCCGATCACCGCGATCCCTTCGGTCATTTCGGTCACTTCGATCGCTGGGGGCACTGCGGTCACGGCGGTCATTGCGATCACGACGATCAGCACGATCAAAATCGCGGGAATCGCTGTAACCTTGATGGTGATCGAAGGCGCGGTCGCGGCTATGACTGTGACGGTTGCTGCTATGGCTATCGTGGCTGTCGTGGCTATGTCTAGATTCTCTTGGGAGGGTGTGTTCGTTTTTGTCGCTCTCACTCTCATAGATCGTAAAGTTCCTGTGCTCGAGCTTCTTCTGCTTCTCTGATTCTCGGGCCACGTTGCTGAGCCACTGTGTGGGATGTGAGTGCAACGCCTCATGCGCGTGACCGAGATTTCGAACATCAATTTTCGGTGCTGGTTGAGGCGACGGAAGTTGAATTGCTCTTTCGTCTCGTGTTGTTAATGCTCGGCCGACAAATAGAGGATCGACTGGGCGAGGGTCCACTCCCAGAGGTACTGGGTGCGAAATGAGTGATTTGTCAAGCAATGGTGCTTTCCCCTTATCGTTTGACTTAAAGAGCCTCTCGCGAAGAGTTTTATCGTCATGTTTCCTGGAACTAGTGCTTTTGTGGGGAGCCATATTCTCAGGAAGGTATGAACGGATGGTTTGGGACAAGTCGTGTGTTGGTTGGTGTTTCTGCGTGATTGTGTTTTTGCGAGAGCTGCTTAACAAACTTAGGTAGGTATACCCACATGTTCGTGCAAATCAGTCGAGATATATAGCCGAGGCCAGTTGTGTTCAATTCAAGAGCTGTGCTTCCGCAACAAAGAGTTCATTTTGATTTGTTGAAACAAAGCAGCTACTACAATGTGTTTGTTGTCAGGGGCAGTGGGGCTAGTTGACAATGGCATTGAAACATGAGATTTGGATGATAATAGAATCCTGTTTGTTAAAGAGAACACCTAACTTCATTGAAAGCTTTTATTTTATCTATACACATCGTTCATCCCGATCACTCTCTAATATCTTAAATCTGCGTGAATGAGTTTGTTTTATCGGTAAGTCCATTCATTTCGCAGATTAGTTACAAGACTGTCAGGCTGTGTGGCGGTGGGAGTATTATGGAATGATGAAGCTAGCAACGGCGCCCGCTGAGCAGTCGCTGTATCGTAATTAGTACAACATATTTTGAGGATTATAATGGACCAGCATATACTTACCCCTGGATCTAGAAGAATCAATTGGCAGGCCGCTCGGATCTTCGCTCCCTTGCCCGACTTTTAACCCCGAGCTCATTCGTGTCGTAGGGAAGCCCATATTATTACCACCCCGAAAATGATTTGATGATATGGTCCCTAATGGAGCGCGCGGATTCATCTGGTTATGAGGTAATCGAGGTGTTCCCACAACGACACCGGGAATAGTAGACAAGCCGATGGATGGTTGGTCGCCAATGCGCTGCCGGTGAGTTGAGGGAGTTATTGGTACGTCACCTATGATTTATGAATTAATATCTTCTCTGTTATCATCTTGAACAGATCTTAGTCACCTTGAGCCCCAAATGTTCGCGGCCAACTACTTGCATGAGATGGTATGTTTGCCAGAGGATGGTTGCGTGTCCCTGCGTCTCGTTGCTTTTCATGCGGAAGATAAGTAGGCTGCTCGTAGAGTCTATCGCGAGACTGAAAGTAAGGATGATCTTGTGATTCGACCCCGTAAGTATTGGTTGACGGCACCTGGAGGCTCGATTCGACGGCATCCTCGGCGGCATCTTGTACCTGACCAAGCATTGCCTTTCTTTTCAACTTATCGTAAAGTTCTTGAGTTTGAAGCAATTTTCTGTTTTTCTCTTTACAAGTCTGGAGCAACTCATCATACTTCTTTCGAAGCTCGTCTCGGTCGATCTCCACACCTACAGAGAGTTAGCCGACTCGGCAAAGATGTATTCGTCAACAGGCGCTGTATATACTCTTGAGCTTGTTATGAGAGTTAGCAATTTCGGCGTTGGCGTCATTTACGACTTTGTCCAAGTGGACATTGAGATTGGAATATTTTTCCGTCAGGGTCTTCGACATGTGTTGTTGGAAAATGCTATTCGGCAGCGTCAGTCTCAGAGCGGATCTCACAATAGGTTGAAAGTCGAATACATCTCTTGAGTGACCTGATAGGCCCAAAAACTAAGAGCCCGGCTTGCACAATCAATAATGACGTTGGGACTTAGCCCACTGAGAACGCTCGTCTTATAATCCTCGCTAGGCTTGAGATTTGCGATGACGGCATCGTCAGGGTTGGTTAGGTGTGTGCCACAAGCAGGACATGCCGTCGGTTCATCGCGTCTCTGGCTAGTCAAGCCAAGACGATTGGCACAATCACCACAAAATATATGACTATATG